GACAGATAATGTGTGAAACAGATCCAGTTCAGCTGCTGTTTATCTATTAGTTTCTATGTTTGCTGTGAGCTGTTGTCCTGTTTGTTGCTCCTCCATGACGTCACAGACTCTACCTGTGATGGGCGGGGCTCACTCCAGTGAGCTGTATCAAGTCTATGGGTCTGTGCCAAAGCTTAAAGGGACAATTGAACCTATCTGAAGCGTGTAAAATGCTGATTATAAACTGTGTTCTGGGAGCAGAACATGAGCCGAAATATTCTGAACAGATGGTCGAACAAACAGAAGACAAGCTAAAATGAGCAGAACACCAGCTAAACAACAAACGATAGGAAAACAGTGGCTAAAAACAAAACAAAACAGCAAAACCAAACGCTAAATTAAAAGAAAAGAAGTTAAAAGCTGAAACAAGCAGCATTGTTGGTGTTTTATATTATTTACTGTACAATAACTAAATGCAGACATCAGCTAAACTATAGCTAAATGCTCAAACATGCAGCGTTATTGGTATCTATACTTTACTGAAAAGTAAAAGTTTAACCTGAGGTTTAAAATAGCAGCTTAAATCTAAGGAGAAGCTAAAAGCTCAAAGCATCAGAACAGCAGCTTAAAGCTAAAACAAGGAGAACAGAAGCAGTAGAAGTGTTTATTATTTTAATAAGTTGAGTTTTAAAAGATAACTTTAGCTGTTTTTAGTCAAATATTGTCCTGATGTTTGTGCTGTAACAAAAAAATACACAATCAGGTGTTTATAAAATAAACAAAACAATAAAAGATTGTGTTATAATCAGTCTTTTTGTCCATTTCAACAGATATAATTGAGTTTTTTGATTGTGTCAAATGAGCTAATTAAACCCTCAGGTGTTTGTTTGTGAATCTAAACATCCTAACATGAAGCAGCTTCTTTGTTTCCTTGTTTTAAAGAGGATTCGTTGTGGACAACACCCTGATGCCATCAGAGAAAACTCCACAAACACTCACGCCTTCTTGAAAAAAAGCAGAAATACTTTTCTGAGAACAGGTGCAACCAGTTTCACCTGAAGCTGTTCAGTTTCACCCTGAGCTGTGAAAAGCACGGGTCAAGGGCCTTTAAAGGGCTCACAGGATGAATATATATGGTCCTAGAATTATATAAAAATATTTTAAAAATGGTCAAAATTACCACAAAGATTTAAACCAAACAGATTATAAATGATGTCCCTGTTTACTTCAGTTTAATAAATCATTAACTTATTAAATTCAACCTTAGTTAAATAAATTTAAATGAATGGTATTTGGATCAATCAATGTTTAATCTGATTTATAAAAATCCAGATGATTCAGATCAAAGCATCAGGTGACTGTTTTTTATTAAAGGTGACGTTTGAACAGAAACAGGCAGCAGAAGCTTTGATTGTTTTCTTGGAATCAAAAGAACAATGGAGACGATTTCCCCTTTKGTTTTTTGTTTTCCTCTGATGTCATTAAGTTCTGAGCCTGAGGCCTCGCCTGCAGACACGTCAGGTCCGAAATACTCGAGAGAGGAAACCGGTCGGTTCTGCTCCAAGATGCTTTGGTGATGAATTTGTCTGACCTTCTGTTTTTTTGTTTCCCCACAGGAAGTGAAGCTGAAACTGCAGGTGAGTTTGAGATTTGTCGAGTTTTTGTCTCCTTAAAAACAGATGTTAGTGTTTAAAACATCACTGTTCAGTCAGGAGCCAAAAGAGGAGAAATCCAGACAAACACAGATGTTTTAGATGTTTTATGTCTTTAACCATGGTTTAAACACTAATTTATTTTTCAATAAATGTGTGAGAAAAGATGAAAGTCACAAACTGTAGGCTGATAAAAACAGTGAAGGAGAGTGGAAATATGTCAAATTCCTTAAAGGAGCTCAACTCACTCCACCTTCAGCTGTGGGAAAATGACCCAAACTGGTTTGGAACTGTGAGCAGTAACTTCTGCTTAATTATTATTTTTTCATGTTGGGGAGCTGATAAAACTCTTTATTTACAGTTTTAAAGAGAAAAACCTTAAAACTCTCCAAAAATAGTTTTTGTGTGTGACGTCTGAGCTCCGAGGGGACGTTTGAAAATCACCAGACAGAAGTTTGTGACCTTTTTAGACTTTATGATAAACATCTAGTGGAAAAAACACCACACCTGATTACTAATGGTGCAAAAACTTTTAAAGATTTTAGACGTAAAATAAATGAACTCATTAAAGAAGAAGTTTTGTTTTCAGTTTATGAACTCTCTGATCTCGTGTTTTAATAACTTGTTTTTTTTTAGTTAGTTTTCAGCTTCACCTGTCGATCATCCTGCTGCTCCATCTGTTAACATGAAAATATCCCGAACCTGTTGTTTTTCTAAAGTTTGTTTCCTCATTTTTAAACTTTTTAAAATTTATTTAGGGCTGCAACGACACAGAAAATTTACGATTCGGTTTGATACTTTAGTCTCACAATTCGATATCTTCAAAAAAAGAGAAAAAAGTTTATGCCCTTTTTAACTTGTAATTTATTTAAATTAATTATGAACATTTGTTTAACCTCTAAAGTACAGTTTTTAAATTAAATGTTGCTGAAACATCAAGTTTCTCAGTGGATCTGAGCTCAAAAATRCAGMCTAGGTGGAGTAGTCGAACACAGATCCACTGATCCTTCAACACAGAGCATCTTCAGAAGACAAACTGATAAAATAAATGTTAAAAATCTGTATTGTTCCATACATTTTGAACCTAAAGCACTGTTTGATACAGGTACATGTGTCGTTGCACCTCTATTATTCACCTCAGAGTTTGTTTTTGTCCTAATCTGGGTTTTCATCTCTCCYTTTCCTTGTGATGCTTTCTTGAGCTGTTACTGAATTTCTCTTATTTTGCATCGTTTACAAACTGTAAAACTATTTATAAAATGATTTTACATTTAAACAGTTTTAGACATATGCTCATGTGGACAAAACTGTTGGTACCCCTCGTTTAATGAAAGAAAAGCCCACAATGATCACAGAAACAACTAGAATCAAACAAAAGTAATAATAAATTAAACTTATATAAAAATGAACAAATGAAAGTCAGACATTACTTTTCAGACATTTAAACAGAATAAAAACAAAACTCCTGAAACGGACCTGGACAGAAACGATGGGACCTTTAATTTAATATTTTGTTGTACGATCAGTCAATCMAGTGATTCCTGTAACTCAGTCAGACGTCTGCAGCTCTGCAGTGTTTGTTCCACTCCTCGTGAACAAACGGCTCCAGTTGTCTCAGGTTTGAYGTTTCAGCTCCAGGACTCRKGTCAGGATCACAGAGACCACTTCAGATATAAATGTTTCCTCTGAGCCGTTCTTGGTGTTTTTAGCTGTTTTGGTTCATTATCCTGTTGATGAGCTGCTGAGACCAAGCTTTCTGACACTGGGCAGCAYGTTCCTCTCTAGAGTCCTTGATAGTCTTGAGATTTAATTGTACCCTGTACAGACTCAAGACCCCCTGTGTCAGATGCAGCAAAGCAGCCCAGACGCTGCAGTGCTCCTCATGAACAAACACACCCCCAGTCTGGACCTGTCACACACTGAGAGCCACAGAGTCCCGTCTGCACAGTCCTGACTGGAGGCCATGCACAAGACGGCTGTCACCGGGGGACAGCAGAGGGACAGCAGACGGAAGTTGCACTATTTTTTGTCACTCATCGGGGGAAAAGTCGTGCAACTCGAAGTAAAAACCAGGCTTTAAGTGGTCAGAGGTGTTAATTACAATCTGTCAAAATGACAGACGGCCTTCAGATTTTCCCGTCATTGTGTGAAAAAAAAGGTCAAATATGGAAAATATGCCATTAAAGCAACCTCTGTTTGAACTGTAATTTATCTTTATGGGATTAGAAGTATCATTAATTCACTAATTAATTAATTAATTCATATATGTGATCATGTTCCTGCAGATTGTGGCCTGGCTTCGCTCAACACCAAGGAGGAAAGCAGGATTGTTGGAGGTCAGACTGCGACTCCGGGGGCCTGGCCCTGGCAGGCCTACCTGCAGATCCCAGTCAGCGGGAGCAGTACTAGCTTTTCTCTCTGTGGGGGGTCTCTGATCAGCAACCAGTGGGTCCTGACCGCCGCTCACTGCTTTCAAAAGTGAGTTCTGAACTGGAGTCATGTTCTGTCTGCGGAGAAAGAAAACCTACCTGGATCTATAAGAACTATGATGTGGGATGCTGCAGGTGGTCAGGTCTAGGTTCAGCAGCAGTCTGTGCTCACAGAATCAGCTCAGCTGACTGCCTGAATATACTGAAGGAGCAGGTTATTTCATCAGTGGATTGTTTCTTCTCTGATGGCACGGACACATTACAAGATGACAATGCCGGGATTAATCGGGCTCTTATTGTGAAAGAGKGGTTCAGGAAGCATGAGACATCATTTTCACACATGGACTGGCTCCACRGAGTCCACTGAGAATCTTTGAAATGTGCTGGAGAAGGTCAGACTCTACCATCATCAAAGATCTTGGTGTAAAATCAAAGCAACACCGGATGGAAATAAATCTGGTGACAATGCAGAAGTTTATCCAAACAGCTAAAGGTCCAACCAAACATCAGAGCAGCTGTGTTTCCATTGATCATGAAAATGTGCAAATTAGAATTTAGAAAATAAATTTGCTCAATGGAAACACGTCAATTTCGAAAAAAATACGTTTTTCGACAAAATGTTTTTGCTCTAGGATGAGGTGGTTTTTCAGTCGTATCGAAATTGGTGTTTTTCACAAAACAGCAATGGAAACAGTTTTTTCACATCAGGAGAGTCACGTGATCAACAACCGTCTGTTTCTACTGGTGAAAAAGACGATGATGAAGAAGATAACAGGAAGTAGAAGTAGTAGTAATATCACAGAAGTAGTATAAAATAGTAAAYTCAGCGACTACAATTTCCCAAAAACACAGCATACGTAGCCGCTCCCAAGTAGGGACTTGTCTCTGGAAAGCCTCGATAAAAGACGCCGACGTCTCCTCTGATG